ATTAACTTCATTGTTTTTTCTCAGCTACTTCAGAAAGATGGGCAGTGCTAAAAGAATTCTTGCTTTTTGGTCAAAAGTTCCTAAACATTTATCCAACACAATAAGAGAGGCTCATGGCAAAGCTACTGCAGCTATTGGTGAAAGTTATACTTACATTGTTGAATTCCTCAGTCATATTTACTGTGGTGAAACCGAAAAAGGAGATACTAGACAACAAGCTGTAAATCTTCCGCAGAAAATGGAAGGATTTGAATTCATGTTTATGCTCCACCTTTGAACAGTTTTGCTAGACCAATTTCATAAAGTTAGCAAGGCACTCCCAAGTTTGCAAATTTTATTGAGCACATGTGTAAATATTTACAGCTCACTATTACAGTTTGTATCAAACACCCAGGCTAAGTTTGATGAAACTGAACAGCAAGAAAAATTTACTCTACCAGAGGTAGAGTACCAGGTACTCTACCCTACCCTACTCTACCCTGGTACTTTACCCTACCAGAGGTAGAGTACATACAAAACTGTCAAAAGAAGGTACGGGGTGGGGGGTGGGGATGATGCGACAGCACCTGAAACCTTAAACAAACTTTCTCAAAGAGTTAAGGGTAAATTCATTTACACCTGTCATGGTCACTCTTAAAGCCAATATAAACAGAAGGGCAACAGTGTATAGGAGCTGGCAATTTTTCTTTCGTGGTCAACCTTCAAGCAACCAAGGAGCATATTCACAATGGCATTGTGATTTTGGTGCAAAGTATCCAAAGGATGTTGACCTTAGTCTAGTCAATGAACGCTTGCACTTCCACCTGTATGTCAAACCAGCTCACCCTGAAAAAGAAAATTTCACCCACCAAGATATGTATCAAGTAATATTCCAGGAAAAATTCAGACAGCTTTTCCAAATGTGGAAACAATTTTTAGATTGTTCCTGTGTTTAATGGTTACAAACTGTACTGGCGAAACATCATTTTATAGACTAAAAAGGATACAGAATGATCTACGCTCAACAATGTCCCAAGAATGATTGTGTGATCTAAGCATTCTCTGCATATAAAATGATAAACTGTGACTTACTGATTTTAATGATATAATTAAGTTTGCACCCAAAAGACCTTGAAAGAAACTGTTCTGACCTTGTATGTAGTGCAATGTTGTAACTTTGCTATAATTTCCCCTATGAAGGTTCTGTGTGGATGTCTTCATTAATTCCATAAATTTATAAACAATCTCTTAATCAGTGCTAAAATTTCAGCAATGTTCTACTTTCATTGAGTTGATAAAGAAGAGAACGAGGTTTTGTTTCTCATGATCAGATGCTATTCAGTTTGGGCCTCTCAAGATCTCCTAGCCTGGCACCTCGAGTTGCTTTCATCTGGGTCTGCCTATTAGCCACTGATAGCCTTTATCTCCATGAATTTGTCCAATCCTCTTTTAAAGACATCATTTTTAAAAAAGGTAAAGGACTCCTGACAGTTAAGTCCAGTCATGAACAACTCTGGGGTTGTGGTGCTCATCTCACTTTATTGGCCGAGGGAGCCGGTGTACAGCTGGCCAGCATGACTAAGCCGCTTCTGGCGAACCAGAGCAGCACACAGAAACGCCGTTTACCTTCCCGCCGGAGCAGTACCTATTTATCTACTTGTACTTTGACGTGCTTTCGAACTGCTAGGTGGGCAGGAACTGGGACCGAGTAACGGGAGCTCACCACATCACGGGGATTCGAACCACCGACCTTCTGATCAGCAAGCCCAGGGCTCAGTGGTTTAGAACACAGCACCACCCACGTCCCTATGATGAAAGACATCATAGATGGTGGCTATAACTGTCTCCTATGGGAGAGAGTTCCATAGTTTAACTATGCACTGGGTGAAGGCCTTTCTTTTATCTGTCCTGAATTTTCAAACATTCAGCTTCATTGGATTTCTGCAAAGATCTAGTGTTATGAAAGAAGGAGGAGGGGAAATGCATCCATGCATAATTTTATAAATTTCTACTGTGTCGCTTCTTACTTGCCTTTTTTCCCAATGAAAAAGTCAAAAATACTGCAGCCTTTCCTCATAGGAGAGTTGCTCCAGGATGGGTGCTGGAGTCATGCAACATCTGAAGGGCTGCAGACTTCACAGCCCTGAGTAAGAGTGAAGACAGAGACCACATTCACACCATACATGTAAAGCACTATGATGCCACTTTAAGTAGTCAAGTCTTCCCCCCTCAAAAAAAATAAAAAATATGGGAGTTGTAGTTTGTTAATGGTGCTGAGAGTTCTCAGGAACAACTTCCCCGCCCATTACCCTCAAAGCTACAATTTCCAGAATTCCCCATGAAGACAAATTGACTGCTAATACACTCTGGGAACCGTAGCTCTGTGAGGGGAATGCAGGGGTCTCTTTTAACAACCTTCAGCACCTTTATGAAACTACAGCTCTCAGAATTATTTGGGGAAGTCATGACTGTTTAAAGTGGTATCATGGCGTTCACATTTTGCATCACAATTCTCCAGCCTGCAGGTACAGAAATGCATGTACTGGGGCAAAGTGTGCATAAAAATGCATATAATAATGAAAATGGCATACACAAATGTATCACACTGGGGGATATGGCTTGCAAATAAATGTGTATGTTAGGCAAAACTGCCTACAAAGATGAGTTTATTAGGAGAAATTAACACTTAAAATGCTGGTGAATATTATCATCAACATCACAGATTATTCACTGCTTTCTAAACCACTGCCTCCAGGAGATTTACATATAAGATGACTAAGAACAGTTAAACTAAAACAACTGATACATTAAAAACAAGACTGAAACCCTAACAAGTGGACACTCATGGTAAAGACTGAGGAAGTTTTCATGAGAACTTTAAAAAAATGGACAGTGGACAGTAAGACAAGAAATGGAAAGAGAAAAACAAAATTGGCAAATTCTCCCATCCCTAGCGAAGCAAACATTTTCTGCAGCTCCTTAGATCATTTCTATGCCTATCCATGTTCAACCCTAGGGCCCTCCTTCTCTCCTCCCTGCTGAGGATCTCTGCATAGCTCTTTCATTTATCGCCATTTGTTGTCCCTCCGCTTGAGTGTCTGACCTGCATGCATATATTTTTGCAGTCTGGCCCGCAGGTTGGGGAGGAGATCTGTGTGTGTGTTTGTGTGTGCAAAGGGGGGGGGGTGACGTTGGTCTGGCAGAGGAGGCCTGGTTCTGTGTAAAGAGCTAAGCCTCGCAACCCATCTGTCAGCTTCCCAAGACAGAGAGCAGCTCCCAGGCTTGTCCCGGTGACCAGCTGCTGGGGGAGATGCAGGCCAAAGACAAATGAGCAACTTAAGTCCTTTCCTTCCCTTGTTCCTCCCCTTTTCATTATTGCTGGAGAATGGAAGGCACTCTTTTTTGTTTTTTCACCAAAGCGATCATTTAAGGCCATTATCTGTTTGCAAGATGAGCGTTAATAATTCACTGTCGCTGGCAAGGTCCCCACCTCCCTGACCCTCTCCAGCTCTCCGACTCTGCTTTCAGAAGGTACAGAGGGCAGAGAAACAACAAAAATAAGCCCCACCGGTGGAGGCTGGTCCACTGGTGCAAGTGCCCTCTAACTGTCAGCCCGTTCTCAGCCACTCCCTGCCTGCTTTTTACTTGCAATCATTCCAAGGGTGGTGGGGGCTCCGGCTGCCAGCTTCCTCCGCCTTAGTATTGTCCCTTGTAGAATAACATGAGCCCCAAGCACCACCCACAGAGGAGAGCCTCTCTCGCAGTTCTGCATGAGTCACTGGTCTGGCCTAGGCTGCTTTCTGTAGGGAGGGACATGCTCAGATGTGAAGAGCCGGGCCATGGTGGCTGGTGCCTATTCAGAATGATCCTGCGGAAGGCAGGGTGGCCAACAGGCAGAGCCGACTAATTCAAGTTTTCTTCTCCATCCTTCTCCAGCCTGCCCTTTCCTTCCTTACTTATATCCAGTCCAAGGAGTAGTCCTGCCTGTCCGGTTCTTATTCCTTCACTTCAGTGTTGCCCCTTGTTGACATGGCTCTGCCTACTCATGGATCCTTGCCTTCTGTGCTCCTACTCCCAGAGCGCACCAGCCGCTGCTGGATAGCACACACATCCTGGTACTAAATCTACATAACCCCAGGATAACCACTATCAAAGGCTTTTGCCACAGCTAAGCACTGCCACCTTTTACCGCGGCAAATGGTTTGACTGGAATCTCCATGCTTTCAGTTTGTTTGGGTTTTCTTTGGGAACAGAGCATAGCCACATGGCTAGTAGCCCATGGATAGGCTTCTCCTCCATGTATTTGTCTAATCCTCTTCTAAAGCCGTCTAAGACGGGATTTCAGAAACAGCGAATTAGCTAAGTTCCTCCTGTAAATAAAACAGGATCGAATTTATTCTGCATACTTGCCTGCAAGTTGATGGGTCACTGTATGATGGAAATCAGCAACATATCGGAAGGCTTACCTGAGCTGCTTTTGTTTACTGTTATTTTACACAAATGTAAAATGTTGATAGGCTAAGATCAGATACACACAGCGCATAGTTCAACGATGGAACTTCCTCCTGCTGGAAGCAGTGATGGCCACCAACCTAGATGGCTTTAAAAGAGGATTAGGAAAGTCATGGGGGAGAGGGCTATAAAGGGCTACTAACCACAAGTCAGCAATGCTTCTGAATACCAGTTGCTGGGAACCACAGGAGGGGAGAGGGCTTTTGTGCTTGGGTCCTGCTTTCAGGTTTCCCACAGGCATCTAGTTAACCACTGTGAGAACAGGATGCTGGACTAGATGGGCCATTGGCCAGATCCAGTTCTTAAGCCACCAAAAGCATCCTTCCGGGCTGAAAAGCAGGGTAGAGACATTAAACTGATTCCTTATCCACGTAACCATAATTATTTCCCCTCCAGCGAGAATTTTAGGGACTTCCTCTTGCTGCTTCTCTCTCATTGCTTTCCAGCATATACTTGATGTCTCTGTAGTGAAGTGGGGTGGGTGAAGAAGGCTAGGAAATGACTCAATCTGTTTGTAAAGAAGTTTATTTCCACATTTAAAAAAAGAGAGGGGGGAGGGAAAGAGAGCGAAAGCAAGAGAGGAAGCTTTCCCCTCCCCCTGATCTCTTCTAAAGCAAGAATCCTCCTTTTCTTCTTCCTCATTACAAAGTCCGGAAAAGAGAATCCTACAGATATACAGACTTACGAGACTCACTTACACAAATACGCCCTCTGGGTTCACCAATAAATAATTCATATACATTTGTGCACCAAAGTTATTTACAAAAAGAAAAAAAAATTAAAGTTACATACTTTTTGAAAATTCTTGGTCTAGCATAAAAGGAGTCCTCTTGTGCTACAGGGAGATAAAACATAGTTATTTCTTTTGCTCTGTGTGTGTGTTTGTGTGTGTGTGTGTGTGTGTGTGTGTGTGTGCTGGAGGGAGCAATCTACACCTACTGTACCTCGAGCCAGGCTGGTGGTCCGCCAGCAACTAATTTCCCAAATTGGAAGGCCTAAAACAGAAGTAATCCTGGGTTTAGTGGGGCTTACTCATAGGTAGGTTTGCAAGCCTAGTCTCATCTGCTGAAATCAAATTGGATTCTGTTATTTTAACCCATTCAACGTGCCTATTGTTTAGTTTTTTTCAAAAATAATAATAATTAATTTTCACCTGTTGTTGTAACTGTTCTTTCTGTTTTATATACACTATAAAATGAATGTTTTTTTAAAAAATCTTTACACAAACTTCCCAAAATTGGGCTGGTAAGTGTTTCACATACCAGGAATACAGAAATACTAAGTCAGACCATTGGTCTTCTTAGCTCAGTAATGTCTACACTGACTGGCAGGGTTTCAAAGAGAAGACATTCGCATTCCTACATGGATATGCTGTTGAAGGATTAAGCCTGGGACCTTCTGCATACTGTACCACTGAGCCAGGTCTCATCTCCATTTAAAACACAGATATATAGAGTTGTATAAAACCAAGAGAAGGCCAACTGAAATGATGTAAACCACTTAGAGGTGTTGGTGATTAAATTGTATGTTAATCCTGCTGAACAGAATAGAATAAGTTGAAACAAATGGACCTGTGTTCACTAAGTTCGTGGACCTAGTGTGCATTGATTTCAGTGTGTCTGCTCTGAGTGTAACTTACATATAGACATCTCTTTCCCCTTTACGAGCTCACTCTATCCCTTTTCCTGCAGTGAGAGAAAAGGACGAGTCAGCATGTAACGAGATGCGCAGAGGACATTTTCTTGGTGTGGCTGGACCGGGTAGGAGAGCAAACTGTAAATGTGTGTGTGTATAAAAATAAATAGCCATCAATAACCCAGACCAGATATGTCTGCTGCTGGTTTTGTGGCTGGGGCGGCAGGGCTGCCAAGGTGTGAAAAATTCTCTTATTCTTGTCTTGCCTCTGAGGACACCTCCCAAACAATTTGCTTATTGGTGTGGATGTGACCTCAGTCTCAAAGTGGTAGAGGGGCTGGGGTATGTTAGAGTGCCTTTGGAATATCATATATATTAAGTAACTGAAAAGCCAAACTTATTGAGGAGGTTGCCTGTGGTATGTCTGTATCAATTACTGCCCTGGGCTTAGCCCCTCTTGAACAGGAAGCACAGGCAGAAGGGTGGGCTGCTCTGCAGGTGGATGCATGTAAAGCATGTTTTTCCTCAAAAGAATCCTGGGAGCTGTAGTTTGTTATGGGGTGCTGGGAATTGTAGCCCTGTGGGGGAACTACATTTCCCAGGATTCTTTGGGGGAAGCTGCCTGCTTGACTCTATTCACTCCATCTGAAAACAAAGGGGCATTTATTATTATTATTTTTTAAAGCTGCTTAACTTTGCCAGACCATGCAAAGGAAAACAAGCAATGCTGCAATAGTACAGAAGGGCCCTGTCTATGTGTTATGTGTGCGTGTGAGATTATATATCCTCTGGTGGGCTGCATGTGTCCATCAAGCCATGTGTGTAAAGGGTGTTTGGGCCAGTATGCAGAGCAAGGGTCAGGCTCTTCACATGTGGCCCTCCAGACCTGTCTATGTGGCCCTTGAAATTCTCCCCAGGCCACGCCCTTCACAGGCCTGGCTCTGCACCTTTCTTAGATGCTTTTACCTGGCTGGAATGAGTCCCTGAACTCTTGCTTACCTGGCTGGAGTACAGATGTCCACATGTGCGTAGAAACCTCTGGGGTTTGCAGCACCCCTGTGGTACAAAGGTGAGGGCCCCTGGCCCTGCCCATCACTGCCATGCGTCCCCCAGAAGGTTGCTTATGAGGACAAGTGGCCCTCAGCTGGAAAAAAAAAAGTTTATTAGGAAAGGGGGTGCTATCAAACAGGTGGGGGAGAGAATATAAGTCCATCTTTGCCCACTTAGAAGGGTGCTGAATGCTCCGCTGCGATATCAAATCGGGAGAAGTTCTCCCTGCAATCTGGGGGAGGGGGAACTGCATCTGCTGAATCTCTACCTGTTGTACCTATTTAAAAAAATGAAGGAATTCTGGGAAGGGGTGGGGAGGTTGGCAACTTTGAAGCTCCTTCAACTTCAGGAGAGAGGGAGGGATGACCCTCCTGGTTCTGCTGGAAAGGACTGTGTCAGGCCCAGGCCCAGGCATAAACGCTTGTGCACATGGGTAAACAGAGTTTATGAAAGGCAATGGGTCTGAAGAGCAGGAAACCTCATGCAAACAAGAGGCAGCATGGGAGAGACCGTCTTTTGTAGGGGTTTTTTATTATTATTTTCACAGGGCCCATCCTACTTCTGTTGCTGTAATCTTATTTACGGTAACTGTTTCAAAACTTTTTTTTTTCCTATTTGAAATAAATTTATTGATAATATTTTGTCTATTTGCTGCTGCTCGGCTTGTAGAGGGAACAAAGCACCGTCCCATATAGGTCGTGTGAAGGAGGCAGAGGCGTACTTAGGGGTCAGCCATGTTGGGCCCCCGCCAAGGGAGCAGGCCGTGGGGTGGAGGCGCGAAAATAGTGCCCCTCTCTCGGCGCGGCGTGGAGGCATGGGCTGTCGCAGCAGCCCTGCAGAGCCCCCTCCCCAGAGAGCCGGCAGTGCTGCCGGTTAGTTCGTGCAGCGGAGCTCCCCGTGAGGACGCCGACGACGCCAAACGTCAGGCGAGGCTCTTAATTTTGCAAAGACGAGTCACTTTCCCCTGGTTTCCTTCCCGCTTTGACCAATTTCCAGCCCGCGCCGCTGCATATTTACCCCAGAGAGCAAGGGCCATCGACGGGGCTTAGTTCCGAGTAAAGTGTGTACTTAGGGCGCAACCTCCAAGTGGTGCCATAAGAAACAAAAAGGCAAGCGAGGTATTGTCAGAAGTTGCTTGCCACCTTTAGGCTGCAGGCCGGTGTACCCACTTTCCTGGGAGTAAGCCCCATTGAACTCGGTGGGATTTACTTTTGATTAGACATTTATAGGATTGGGCTGTTAAACGCCCAGTTTAAGAGTAATTTGTGACGATTGAATTAGGCCAATTTAAAAAAATTATTATTTTTTGCTGGAGATGCGGGGGGGAGGGAGGGGGCGCGCCGATACCGCTCCTTGCCAAGGGCGCAAGGGAGCCTAGGTACGCCTCTGGAAGGAAGCACTAAAACGCGTGCATCGTGGTATATCCCCCAAATAGGATCTGATTTTCCCTCCCGTTTTCAAGAGTCAAACTGGACCAAATTTGTTGCATGTGTGGTTGATGGTGCGTGTGCGTGCGTGCGTGCGTGTCTGTTTGAGCAAAGCAACGCCCGTTCAAAAGAGGGATTTCCCACCCACCCCCCGGCGTTCCCACGTTGTCTCTTCCAGAAGCTGCGCCCGGTCCCTCCTCCTCGCCTCACCGCGGCTGAGCCGCCCGGGGAAGGACTCCGGCCAGGGGGGGCAAGGGCGGCGGGGGCTCGCTGCCCCCTTGAAGTCCGTGGATGAGGATCCGGGGGACCAGCGGCCTCTGCAGGGCCGGCGGCGGGGCGCTGGGCCCGCGGTAGAGATAGAGGGCAGCGCCCGGATCCAGGTTGGACACCAGACTCTGCGGGTAGAAATAAGGCGACGGGAACATCCTCTGCAGCGCCGAGTAGTTCCCGGCTTCGGCCAGCAGCTCCAGGCCCACCGCGGTCTGCCTTTTCCATTTGGTCCTGGGGTAAGGGGAAAAAAAGTTTCGGGGGTCAAGACACTTGGATCACTTTTATTGACCGTTTTAAGAAAATCCATCTCATGTGTCTGCGTTTGACAAAGGGATTGCTCTCTTTGGGGCGGGAGTTCCACACGTGCACTCGCATAGTCTCTGCACCTGTGTGTACAGCTGCACGTGGGAACGGACCCTCTTGGAAAGGCTGGTGTTTTTAAGTGTTATTAATCATCATACTTAATGATAATACCATTTTTTTATTTGTTCCCATACGAGACTGTATTACAAAAGTAATACTGTTTAAAGAATAAATAGAAATTAACACGCCCCCTTTTCATGATTCAGAGTGTATTTCTTTAAAGCACAATATATTCTACAAATAGGATTAAGACTCTTGCATTTAGCATGATATTCAACCTGCAAGGGCTATTTGCTTCACTAACTTTCAAGAATAGAAGAACAGAATCTCACTGAATGGACCAAACCTTGTTGGCTGATTGCATCAGGGGGAAACAAAACAAAAACCATTGTGTTCTAAGTGGTCATCAGAGCATCTGCCTGGGATGTTAGATCTGTGGCGGCGGATTCACACGTTCAAGTCACCACCTGATGAACAGGCAACTGAGGATCTGCTCAGCATGTGGGGATTAAGCAGGGATTAAAAGACCCAGCACAGAGGAGAAGCATAATTTAGGAGGACAAAATCATGCTCATGTTCACATTAACTGAAAGAATTGTAACAGGCTGCTTACTTGCACATATGAAGTGTTAATCGTAGATCTGACACCACAACTTTCCTATTGTGCTGCTTCTCCTCCAACTAAATCTGAGGCACTCAAATTTGGCGGCCACACATAGAATCATAGAGTTAGAAGGCACCCCAAGCATCAACTAGTCCAACCCCCTGCAATGCAGGAATCTCAACTGAAGCATCCATGACAGATGACCATTCAATCTCTGCTTAAAAACCTCCAATGAAGGAGAGCCCATCACCTCCAGAGGAAGTCTGTTCCACTGTCAAACAGCTCTTACTGTCAGAAAGTTATTCCTGGTGTTTAGTTAGAATCACCTCCCAGTCTCCTCTTTTCCAGGCTAAACATACCCAGCTCCTTCAACCATTCCTCATAAGGCTTGGTTTCTAGACCCTTGAGCATCCTAGTTGCCCTCCTCTGCACACGATGTAGCCTAGAATAGCATTAGCTTTTTTTGCTGCTGCATCACACTATTGACTCATGTTAAGCTTGTGTTCTACTAAGACCCCAAGATCCTTTCCACACGTACTACCAGCAGGGCAGGTGTCCCCCATCTTATATTTGTGCAACTGGTTATTCCTGCCTAAGTGTAGAACCTCACATTTGTCCCTACTGAAAATAATTTTATTAGTTTGGGCACAGTTCTCCAATCTGTTAAGGTCATCTTGAATCCCAATTCTATCTTCCGGGGCATTAGCTACCCCTCCCCGTTTGGTGTCATCTGTAAATTGGATGAGCATCCCCTTACTTCCTTCACCCAAGTCATTTATAAAGCTGCTAAACAACAACAGGACCAGGACAGAACTCTGTGGCACCCCACTTGTCACTTTTTTACAGGATGACAGGAACCATTAGTGAGCACTCCTTGGGTTTAGTCAGTCAACCAGCTACAAATCTACCTAACAGTTACCTCATCCAGCCCACATTTTACCAGCTTTCTGCAAGAATATAATGGGGGACCTTGTCAAAAGCCTTATTGAAAACAAGATACCGTACATCCACAGCATTCCCCTGATCCACCAAGCTTGTAGGTCTACTAAAAAGACAGAGATTTGTCTGGCATTACTTGTTTTTGAGAAACCCATACTGGACCTTAATATCCACAGCATCCTTTTCTAAGTGCTCATAGACCAACTTTATAATTATCTGTTCTAGGACCTTTCCTGGTATCGTTGTCAAGCACACCAGTTGGTCGTTACCTGGGTCTTCTTTTTTCCCTTTTTTGAAGATGAGAACAACATTTGCCTGCCTCCAGTCTGCAGGGACCTCACCTGTTCTCCAAGAATTCTCAAAAGATTATAAACAGAGGCTCTGAGATTACATCAGCAAGCTCCTTTAGTACCCTTGGGTGCAGCTCATCAGGCCCTGGAGATTTGAATTCATTTAGAGCAACTCAGTGTTCCCATACCACCTCTTTTCCTAACTTGGGCTGCAGCTTCCTTCTTGCATTGTTTATTCTCTTATCACCCGGTTGGGCACTCCTTTCCTTTTGGGTGAAGACAGAGGCAAGGTAGGTGTTGAGCAATCCCACCTTTTCTCTCTTACCCAACAGCATTTCTCTGTCTTCTCCATGCAGAGGACCTACTACTTCCTTGTTTTTCCTCTTGCTTCGAACATAGCCGTGTGAGCAATGCAATATGGACGAGCGTTTGTGACTCAAAGAAGCAAACCAACACATTCAGTTTGCAGAGGATCAAGTAGTCAGAAATCAAACAAGATGTAGGCACAACATCTGTACAATGTTCAACCTTGGCCACAACACACTACTAGGAACAAAGGAACATAGTAAGCTGGTTTATGTTGAGTCAGATCATTGGTCCATCTAACTTTGTATTGTCTACACTGATTGGCATCTGCTCTACAGGGCTGCAAACAAGGGAAGCTTTCCCACCTCTACCTGGAGATGCTGTTGGAGATTGACCCTGCAACCTGGTTTATATAGAGCAGGTATTCCACTATTGAGCTTCAGGGGCCCTTCCCCAAAGGCCATAGTGGAGAACGTGTGGCCCTCCAGATGTCTCTGGATTACAACTCTCATCTTAAGAAGAGCCTGCTTGATCAGGCTCCAGCATCCAGTTCTTACAGGGACCCTCTAGAAACCTGGAGCCAAGACATGAGCACAAGAGCCCCCTCCCCTCCTATAGTTTCCAGCAACAGATTCAGAAGCATTTCTGCCGTTGACTGTGGAGGCAGATGATAACAATTGTGACTAGTCGCCCTCTGTCTAATCCTCTTTTAAAGCCATCCTAGTTGTTGGCCATCTATGCCTATAGTTCTATAGTTATGTGTGAAGAAGGGCTTTCTGGTATCTGTCCTCGGTCTTTCAACATTCAGCTTCATTGAATGTCCACAAGTTCTAGCCTTATGCATAATTTTATAAATGTCTATCATATCACCTCTTACTCTCCTTGTCTCTAAACTATCCTTTATTTGCCCTGAATATTCCAACATTCCGCTTCCATCATCATCATGGTCATCAGCATCATCCTTAAGCCTTGGTCATGCTGGCCGAGGCTGATGGGAGTCAGAAATCTGCTGCATTAGGAAGTCCACGCAGGTCCCCCTTCCACGCTGTAAAAGAGTGCTGGCTTTCCAATTAAAAGATCCCCACTATCTGACACTGAAGCAGCCCAAAGCATGATCAATGCAACCAGCATCAACAGGGCCACATTCTTACTTGCGAGGAGCAGCTAATACCAATTGAAAACTTCCCTTCAGGAGTAGACTGTGCTCCATTGCCTCTGCCCGATAAAAGCCTACACATTACCTTTGAGAAGTTCAATCTTAAGTCTGGGGAAGTGAGGCATAAACAGACAAGTGTAAGTGACTTCCTTGTCTGTGTAGGACATGACAGGAGGTGCCATGTCAACCGAGGATTGTCATCAATGTAACATGAGCCTTGTGGCTCCACACACAAGGATTTGCCGTTGAACATAATGATCACAAATTGTTGTTATTTTTATTACGTACTGGCAGGTGCTTGCGTGATGCACACATTCGGTGTAGCTGCAAAGGAGGTTGATCTGTTAGGGCAGATGGGACATTGCCCTGCTTACCTCCCTCTGCCCCCACCTGCCTGCCTTCTGGCTTACACCCAGTCCAGGGGGTTGCCCTGGCTGCCAGCTTCTTAGTCTCAGATTTGCCCCTTTTAGAATTGACAGTGAGTTGACAATGGCAGAGTGCATGGAGAAAGGCTTTGTATATTACATATTGGGCCCCCAGCTTTCCAAAGCCTCCTGCAAGCTGTCACTCAGAACTCTGACAGGAAGGAAGAGACGGGCAAAAAGAGAAATGGGCTGGCAGAGAGGGGAAAGGGGTATCCTCTCCCACTTCTGCCTCTGGTCCCAACCACTGCTGCCTTCAGCCCCACCCACTTAAGCAACCAATAGCTGTGGACAGGATCCAGGCAAAGGGAAACTCTTAAAATACTTCTGATTTCAGTAGGAAATGATCCATCCTCAAATGTGCCAGTATGGTATACCCTTGAGTAACCCCAGAAAAAAGTACTGCTCTTGGGTAATTGTGCCTGAGTCTGCAGCTTTCAGACCCATTGCTTTTAGTTTTGGAACCATGCAACTTGCATGTTTACTCAGAAGTAAGCCCTGCTGAGTTCTAAGCATATGTAGGAGATTTCAGCCTTAAGCATGGACTTAAGTCTTCCCTTAAAAAACAACTTTTTTAAAATTGGGGCAAGATCACACACTGGGAGCTTTCAGATCCATATACAGTGGTACCTCGGGTTAAGTACTTAATTCGTTCTGGGGGTCCGTTCTTAACCTGAAGCTGTTCTTAACCTGAAGCACCACTTTAGCTAATGGGGCCTCCTGCTGCCGTCCCGCCGCTGGGAGCACGATTTCTGTTCTCATCCTGAAGCAAAGTTATTAACCTGAGGTACTATTTCTGGGTTAGTGGAGTCTGTAACCTGAAGCGTATGTAACCTGAAGCGTATGTAACCCGAGGTACCACTGTAGTTATAATCCTATGTATCCATGGAATGAGAGAATCAGTCCATTTCACTAGTTGTAAAAGCCTGTCCCAAGCATTCTGTCACGTTCTACTGTGACCAAGAGACAGAGCTTGAATAGACATTTTCCTGAAGAGAAGCCCTGTTAAGTCTTTGGCAGCAAAAGCAACTAAAGCCAGTTGTCTGGCTGTCTGTCTATCTGTAGAACATCTGCTCTGCATGTAGAAGGTTCCAGGTTCAATCCCCAGAAACATCTCCAGTTAGGGCTGGGAATGTTTCCTGCTTGAAATC